AATGGTAATGTTTAGATGGATTTAGGAAGCCCCCTCGATTCTATTGGCTCTAACGGTTCAAAAGAGGTGTCGATCACCAAAATCGATCAATGGGTTTGCTGGAGTCGGGAGGCCTGTTAATTTATTCCGGCACTTACTCTGACCTACTAATTGACCTAACAGAAGCTATTGAGTCTATGTAAGTTTACTGCCAGGCGCGGATCCACCAACGTCACTAACTTCAACTGGCCCACTTCAGTTGTGACATTTAAATTCTAACTTCAACTGGCCCACTTCAGTTGTGACATTTCAATTCTGACTTCAACTGGCCCACTTCAGTTGTGACATTTAAATTCTAACTTCAACTGGCCCACTTCAGTTGTGACATTTAAATTCTAACCTCAACTGGCCCACTTCAGTTGTGACATTTCAATTCTAACCTCAACTGGCCCACTTCAGTTGTGACATTTAAATTCTAACCTCAACTGGCCCTTTTCAGTTGTGACATTTAAATTGTACCTTTTAAATTCTTCCGAGATAATTTAGAGGAATATCCTCATAAATGGTCGGTGATAAAAAACGCATTAAAACTTTCATTCAACAATACATTCAAAATCAAAGTCAATTTCAGAGAACTTATCAAGGAAAACCCCGCTCTGGAGCTTTCTCCCTCTCAGCCAGTGCTTTCATGCTCCACACAGGGACAGAAAACCAAAGACACATCTTCATACCCATATATGTGGGGAAAAGTCATGACCTCTGGTGTGCAGGACTGGACATGTCCAGACATATTATCCTATGGTGTGGCCTAAACAGATTTTGGGGCTTCAGTACTTTTCCATTGAGTCAGGGGTCTCCTGTGCGTGAGCTTGCTGTGAGTGAAGACAACTGTCTCCCCTCTTTAAACAGTGACACCCATAGTGATAAACTATAATAGGCCTTAAACTCAATTTACCAAACCCCTTGTTTGTAAATACTGCATTATAGAACAACATGAAATATAATGCATTTTCATTGTGGGTTACACAAGAATATATTTGATTATATTTGATTATATTAACTTTCGTTTTAATTATTCAACTTAATATGGAGACTTCAACAGGTTCCAGAGATATGGCAAATATACCCAAATGACCCCAGAGGTGGGTTTTGTTTTTTCTAAATCTCTCTAAAAAGGTCAAATTTCACTTCTTGATCTTGATACAGGGTACTTATTATGTTTTAGTTTGGATTCCTAAAGCTTTTAGTCTGCCATCCCATCATTCAAGGGTGGTTTTCACTTGAAGTAATGTTTTTTTTTTTGGACGGAAACTATAATTTACAGTTTTTCACTAAGTTCAATCGGAATTTTTTCTTTAAAATAAAAACATCTATATTGATTCTGACTTTTCTACATCCAACTCACAGGTTTATCATTACTTTGAGAAAAAAGATTATTAATTTATCCCTTTTAGAAGGGAAGTTATAGTCATTTGTTCTGGGAATGTCATTTTCAAGCCTGAAACCTGAAAAACATGCTCAGGGCTTAACAGGTTAAGCTTTTTAAAACGTATGTGGTAAGTTGCCAAAGTGCTTTGTTTTGAACGTTCATCAGTATTATAATCAAAAAGAGAAATATGAACGTTAGTTTTTACTGAAATGATCAAATAAAGTCAACATTTCACTGAGCTGTGTGGGGTTTGTTCAACTTTTAAAAGATGTTTGAATGGTGATATACACAGTGATAGATGTTAAGGACTAACGTTATAATAAAAACATTTGTATTGATTTTAAGATATTTTCGTAGTTCATACAATCATACGTATTGGGATCATTTGTATTAATGCGGACCGGAGGGAGAGGGTGACGAGCATAAGTTTTACTTTCCTTTTTTATTTGGTTTTGTGTTTCGCATTTAAGATGACGTCACGGCTCCACCTACACTGCGTTACTATAGTTACTGCCCCAACTACTAAACTGTAATGGAAACGCAGCATAAAGTCAGCCGGGCCTAACAAGGCCTAACCATACCGTACTAAGCCGAGTGAGGCCCTGCAGTGGGAAAGCGCCATTAGTCGTCTCATTTAGACACTTCTTAGCAACATGCTATTAATGCACATACTCTTCAATCTTTCATTGTGTTGGATCCCCTGCTGTAGATACAGTGTTGAACTTCACTTTCTGATCATTTTCCTAAAAAAGCATCTAATAAACATTTTATGGTACGTACAAAATATAAAAGATTTTAAAATGTAAGACACGTTGACAAAAAGTATTTCTCAGTTCATGATTGCATGAATTGGTAAATAAAATCTTTGTCTAACAACTGCCACAGGTTTGTATCCCCTCGTCTGCACTGCTGACGTTTTCCCGATACAATAATACCAAAACACTTCATGTTATTGCATTTTTTTAATTGAAAAAACAAAAAGGAAACACTTACAGAGAACGGTCACGGAGATCTAATCCTGTTTACTGATGTTCTGCAAAGCTGGGCCTCATTGAGCATCTTTAGCGAGGTGTTTGTGGATGATTTAATTACTAATGAATGCGCCCCGCTTCAGTCACTAAACAGCTGTTTCATCCACTGTGTGAAACAAAAGGCTAATCTCTAATCTAACGAACCAAACCATCCTTCAAACCAACCAGTGAGTATTCATCTGAGGAAGTGTTCTCGACGGTGAACTGTAGAAGAATATTGTTTAAAATGTCATCACCAGTTAATCTATGAATACACTTTGGTGAGGGCTTATGTGTTCTCTAGTATGAACACTTTTTAAAGAATATGTGGGGAGGCTGTGGCTCAGTGGATAGTGTGATGAAGGGGGTAGCGAGTTTGAGTCCCACTGCAGTCAGCATGTCGTTGTGTCCCTGAGACACTTCACCTGGATTGTCCACAGTACTCAATGTATGTAAGTCGCTTCGGATAAAAGCGTCTAACAAATAAAATGTTATGTGTATTTATTTTTAAATAACTCAACAGCACTGACACATTTCGTTTTTTTGTCTAGATTTGAAGCAATTGCCTGATACTACTTAACAATCCTTACGTCCATTTCTATTCATTAACGCAGTGCTTATCCCTCTTTATGATTATTCATCTCAAAAATACAGCGGCTCTTTTTTTTTTTACAATGAATTCCAGGCTACTAACACCACAGTAACACATGTAGAGAGAACGGGGTGATATCCTCCACCATAGTGTTAGGAAGTCTTCAATTAGAGAGACAAACACTTTCTGAAGAGTGTGATGACGTAAGATATGTAAAGAAAGTGATAACACTGCCAAAAAAGACATTTCAATCGAGGAAACACCAAGCTATTAACGTTAAGGTGTGGAAGGGAGGGTTACAAAACACACCCGATGCTGGAGCTCTAAAGGAAGAATCTTCTGCAGAACTGTTGACGTACAACCTTCAAATCAACCGTAAACCCCCCCTAACTCGTACAGACAACACAGGAGACCTGCAGCACAGCTCAGAAGGGTCTCCTCTGTCAGCGCGCCCTACTATGTGCAGGTTCGTCGTGAGTGCAGCAGCATTTTCCTCAAGTCTGAATCCATCAGAAATGAAAAAGTCTTCTGACCAGAGGACGAGGACCGGGGACGTCTCTTCCAGCCTTCTTTACAACCTGCAAATCAACCGTAAACCCACCTTAACTCGTACAAACCACACATGAGACCTGCAGCACACGATACAAAGTTATTATTGTTGTCTCTTTGCGTGTCTCTGCTCCTTCCGTTACATCCTGTTCCTGCACAGGTTTCAGAGGTGTTTCCTCTGTCCTCACACTCTCCCTCCCTTTACGTTGTTCATGCATGTACGTCGTGAGTGCATCAGCGTTTTCCTCCAGTCTGAACTTCTCTGACAGGAGGACGAGGACTGGCCATTTCTCTTCTGTCTTTCCACTCCTGCATTTCCTTTCTCTCCTTCCCGGTCTCCATTCCAAACTCACTGTAAAGCCCCTGTCACACTGTCCCGAAATTGACACCCGATGGACCCACGATAAAGGAAATGTTCAAATTCGGCTCTGATCGTAACAACATCGCGCCATTCGTGAGGGCATCTTAAGCCATCGTATGACCGTCGGTGGAGTTTCTCAGGCTCCGGCAGCAACTTCATGAGCGGCAACTTCGTAAGGCACTCGTGAGGGCATCTTGTCGAATCGTGTCATCTTCGTGTTATCATCGGTGCATTTGCCCTCACTCTGATCGGGGCGAATGCCCGATGGCACCGATGATAACAAGATGCCCTCACGATGGCCTTACGAAGGGCAAAATTGACACACGAATTCAACACGAAAATGAACCTTTGCAAGGTCCTTCGGCAATTTTTTGGCATGCCAAAGATTTTGCCACGGCTCACGAAGTTGCTGCCGGAACCTGAGAAACTCCACCGGCGGTCATACGATGGCTTAGATAACCTCACGAATGGCCCGATGTTGCTACGATCACAGCCGAATTTGAACATTTCCTTTATCGTGTGTCCATCTGGTTGTTTTATTGCACAACAAAATCATGTAAATATATTATGTAAATAACCCAATTTGTGTTCTGTGAAACTAAAAAGGATATAATATATTATTTTGAAGGAGAGTTGAAAGGAAGTTGTTGTTGCTATGGAAACAACATTACGGAGAAAACGTAATATTTTCTACATATAACGACGGATAAAGTAAAGAACAAAGTCTGAAGATAACAGTACTGTATCATAGTACTGTAACATAATTGTTTTTGGTACTTTCGTTGCAGTTGTATGTCTTAAATGTAATGTAAATGTTGCCTTCGTGTGTGGTTCGGGGCCATCTTCGTGCGAAATTCACAATTCCATATTCGTGTGTCCATCGGGTGTCAACTTCGGGACAGTGTGACAGGGGCTTTACGGGTTGTTTTGTCTAATCTACGTCTGGTTAACTTCCTGAACCTCTGTTAAAGAGCCGAGCACAGCCTGCCAGCAGTGCAGCTCCGAACCTTAGACGTACAACCTGCAAATCAACCGTGAACCCCCCCTAACTCGTACAAACAACACATGAGACCTGCAGCACACGGTATCAAGTTATTATTGTTGTCTCTGCACAGGTTTCAGAAGGGTCTCCTCTGTCAGCGCGCCCTCCTCTCTGTCCCCTCCTCTCTGTCCCCTCCTCTCTGTCCCCTGGAAGCTGTCTTGTCATTGGCTGTCGCTCTCGCCCAGGAGCCAATAGGTGGTCATCTTCCCTTTGCCCTTCACGTCGATCTCTCTTCTCCTCTCCAGCTGGAAGCAGTTAAACTCCTGCAAGATGTCGTGAGTCGCCGCCGACACATGGATCTTCAGTGCTACACACACACACAAACACACACACACACACACACACACACACACACACGTTAGCGAGCTAGCTTTCAGCAGATCTGCAGTAACAGTATCAGAAGGAGTCATGTTAACATAAGACCATACACATTTTAGGTAAGTTTCCAACAACAGCTTTATAATCCTGAACGTCACTAAACGCTCCGTCCCAGCTGTGTGCGTCACTCTTTAGTGTCCCCTGATCTCCCAGCTGTGTGTGTCACTATTTAGTGTCCCCTGGTCTCCCAGCTGTGTGCGTCACTCTTTAGTGTCCCCTAGTCTCCCAGCTGTGTGTGTCACTTTTTAGTGTCACCTGGTCTCCCAGCTGTGTGCGTCACTTTTTAGTGTCCCCTGTTCTCCCAGCTGTGTGCGTCACTCTTTAGTATCCCCTGGTCTGTGCGTCACTCTTTAGTGTCCCCTAGTCTCCCAGCTGTGTGCGTCACTCTTTAGTATCCCCTGGTCTGTGCGTCACTCTTTAGTGTCCCCTAGTCTCCCAGCAGTGTGCGTCACTCTTTAGTGTCCCCTGGTCTCCAGCTGTGTGCGTCACTCTTTAGTGTCCCCTGGTCTCCCAGCTGTGTGCGTCACTCTTTAGTGTCCCCTGGTCTCCCAACTGTGTGTGTCACTTTTTAGTGTCCCCTGGTCTCCCAGCTGTGTGCGTCACTCTTTAGTGTCCCCTGGTCTCCAGCTGTGTGCGTCACTCTTTAGTGTCCCCTGGTCTCCCAGCTGTGTGCGTCACTCTTTAGTGTCCCCTGATCTCCCAGCTGTTTGCGTCACTCTTTAGTGTCCCCTAGTCTCCCAGCTGTGTGCGTCACTCTTTAGTGTCCCCTGGTCTCCCAGCTGTGTGCGTCACTCTTTAGTGTCCCCTGGTCTCCAGCTGTGTGCGTCACTTTTTAGTGTCCCCTGGTCTCCAGCTGTGTGCACTGAAGATGTTTCTTCATGTGGAACCCTTTGTGTTTTTATATCTGCATCGTTTGTGAAGCTGCAGCGAATTTATTCCTGTTGGCCTCCATATAAAACGACATAGAAATGTTTTGACAATATAAAACCTATTATAGAATTTCGAAAAGATAAATATACAAAAAAGCATGTATTATAAGATTAAGACAAATGAACTGCAGTACATCAGAATTTCAGAGCAGAGCTGTGCAGTTAAGTGAACACATACTGATGAATCTGCACCACATTGAAAAGGAAAGACATGTCTGACCTTCGCCGCTGGACTCCATGCGTGACGACGTGTTGACCGTGTCTCCGAACAAACAGTAGCGCGGCATCTTCAGACCCACCACCCCCGCACACACCGGCCCTGCAGCACAGGAAACACACGGCAAGCTCATGCATCTCCAGAGCAGTGCATATAAAATAGTCCTGATCTAACACACTATTATTTTAAATGTAATGCAGCACTTGCTTTTGCAAACATCCCACACTTTACAATCCAGAAGAAAAGCATGTCATAAAATTAGAGCAGAATGAAAACACTAACATTTCAATTATCCGAAGTGGTCAACTTTGATAATAATATATATTTTCTTCCTCCTCATGTTATCTTTTAGGTGTAGCATTGTAAGCCTTTACACACGACTGCTGCTCGGCTATCAGTCCGAGGGTCGCTTTTATTACCTTGACAGCCTTGCATTGTTGGACGAGCGATACTCGCTGTGCGTATGACAATGACGCCTTTGAATCTTTTAAATCTTTATCCCAGACACGTATTGACTGCTCCCCTCCCATCCTCTGCACGTCCTGCAGTAGAAGATGGATCTGTATTCTCTGTCGTCTTGGTTATAGTTGCGTGTGTACTCACCGCTGTGAACTCCTATCCTCAGCTCCAGCTGCTGCTCGGGCCGGTGGCAGATCTTGAATGTTCGCACGGCGTGCAGCAGGGCGAGCGCCATGCGGGCGATTTCCCTCCCGTGCAAGTTCCCGTTCCTCACCGGCAACCCCGACACCACCATGTATGCGTCACCTATCGTCTCCACCTGCAGGGGGGGGGGGGGTGCACTCCATTTTACGTGTATTTAATGCATATACAGTGGGGCAAAAAAGTATTTAGTCAGCCACCAATTGTGCAAGTTCTCCCACTTAAAAAGATGAGAGGCCTGTAATGTTCATCCTAGGTACACTTCAACTATGAGAGACAGAATGGGGGGGAAAGAATCCAGGAAATCACATTGTCTGATTTTTAAAGAATTTATTTGCAAATTATGGTGGAAAATAAGTATTTGGTCAATAACAAAAGTTCATCTCAATCCTTTGTTATATACCCTTTGTTGGCAATGACAGAGGTCAAACGTTTTCTGTAAGTCTTCACTAGGTTTTCACACACTGTTGCTGGTATTCTGGCCCATTCCTCCATGCAGATCTCCTCTAGAGCAGTGATGTTTTGGGGCTGTCGCTGGGCAACACGGACTTTCAACTCCCTCCAAAGATTTTCTATGGGGTTGATATCTGGAGACTGGCTAGGCCACTCCAGGACCTTGAAATGCTTCTTACGAAGCCACTCCTTCGTTGCCCGGGCGGTGTGTTTGGGATCATTGTCATGCTGAAAGAACCAGCCACGTTTCATCTTCAATGCCCTTGCTGATGGAAGGAGGTTGTCACTCAAAATCTCACGATACATGGCCCCATTCATTCTTTCCTTTACACGGATCAGTCGTCCTGGTCCCTTTGCAGAAAAACAGCCCCAAAGCATGATGTTTCCACCCCCATGTTTCACAGTAGGTGTTCTTTGGATGCAACTCAGCATTCTTTCTCCTCCAAACACGTCTAGTTGAGTTTTTACCAAAAAGTTCTATTTTGGTTTCATCTGACCATATGACATTCTCCCAATCCTCTTCTGGGTCATCTAAATGCTCTCTAGCAAACTTCAGACGGGCCTGGACATGTACTGGCTTAAGCAGGGGGACACGTCTGGCACTGCAGGATTTGAGTCCCTGGCGGCGTAGTGTGTTACTGATGGTAGCCTTTGTTACTTTGGTCCCAGCTCTCTGCAGGTCATTGACTCGGTCCCCCCGTGTGCTTCTGGGATCTTTGCTCACCGTTCTTGTGATCATTTTGACCCCACGGGGTGAGATCTTGCGTGGAGCCCCAGATCGAGGGAGATTATCATTGGTCTTGTATGTCTTCCATTTTCTAATAATTGCTCCCACAGTTGATTTCTTCACACCAAGCTGCTTACCTATTGCAGATTCAGTTTTCCCAGCCTGGTGCAGGTCTACAATTTTGTTTCTGGTGTCCTTTGACAGCTCTTTGGTCTTGGCCATAGTGGAGTTTGGAGTGTGACTGTTTGAGGTTGTGGACAGGTGTCTTTTATACTGATAACGAGTTCAAACAGGTGCCATTAATATAGTTAACAAGTGGAGGACAGAGGAGGCTCTTAAAGAAGAAGTTACAGGTCTGTGAGAGCCAGACATCTTGTTTGTTTGTAGGTGACCAAATACTTATTTTACCGAGGAATTTACCAATTCATTCATTAAAAATCCTACAATGTGATTTCCTGGATTATTTCCCCCCATTCTGTCTCTCATAGTTGAAGTGTACCTAGGATGAAAATTACAGGCCTCTCATCTTTTTAAGTGGGAGAACTATTGGTGGCTGACTAAATACTTTTTTGCCCCACTGTACATACACACACATCTACACTCACTGTATACGTTTAAAAAACTTCCACACAGAGTGCCAACACGCTTCTACGGCCCAGAACGCGCTGCAGCTTCAGAAACGATGCAGATATAAAAACCCAAATGTTCCTCATGAAGACACATCTTCAGCAACTTGACCACACATGCAGCGTTTAGAGGACATCCAGCAACTTGAGGAGACATGCAGCGTTTACTAAAAGCCGCAGAAACCAAACGCTGCAGATACAAAACGCTGCAAGAAGCTCAAAACACAACGGAGACCAGGGGACACTAAAGAGTGACGCACACAGCTGGGAGAGCAGGGGACACTAAAGAGTGACGCACACAGCTGGGAGACCAGGGGATACTAAAGAGTGACGCACAGAGCTGGGAGACCAGGGGATACTAAAGAGTGACGCACAGAGCTGGGAGACCAGGGGACACTAAAGAGTGACGCACACAGCTGGGAGACCAGGGGATACTAAAGAGTGACGCACAGAGCTGGGAGACCAGGGGACACTAAAGAGTGACGCACACATCTGGAGACCAGGGGACACTAAAGAGTGACGCACACAGCTGGGAGACCAGGGGACACTAAAGAGTGACGCACACAGCTGGGAGACCAGGGGACACTAAAGAGTGACGCACACAGCTGGGAGACCAGGGGACACTAAAGAGTGACGCACACATCTGGAGACCAGGGGACACTAAAGAGTGACGCACACAGCTGGGAGACCAGGGGACACTAAAGAGTGACGCACACATCTGGAGACCAGGGGACACTAAAGAGTGACGCACACAGCTGGGAGACCAGGGGACACTAAAGAGTGACGCACACAGCTGGGAGACCAGGGGACACTAAAGAGTGACGCACACAGCTGGGAGACCAGGGGGCACTAAAGAGTGACACACACAGCTGGGAGACCAGGGGGCACTAAAGAGTGACGCACACAGCTGGGAGACCAGGGGACACTAAAGAGTGACGCACATTGGAACATTTGTGTTTTTTTATCTGCATAGTTTCTGAAACGTTTCTCCTGAAGGAAATGTTTCTGGATCGTTGTCGAGGGCTAGCTCCTCTCGGCCTCCGTATGAACACATTAAGATATCATTATTTTCTTAAAGAGAATAGTCTGTGTTGTTTTTCCACCTTGTAAACATCAAAGTTGTCGATGATGGCGTCGAAACAGGTGTAGAGGTCGTTGAGCAGCGTCACCACCTGCAGAGAAACAACCTTATTATAATACTGTATATATATATATATATATATCATATATTATAATGTAATACACACAAGCATCTCACAGGATTAACTGCAGATACCACTCTCAGAAAGCATAATACTTTTCAGCAATAATATATTTATAAATATAAATACACCACTGTAATATTCCAATGTGTACATATGTATTGTTGTTATATATCATAATACAATGTACACATTGAATAGTTACATATATTAAATGTTAAATATCAATATATGTTTCATATTTAATAATTGAGTATTATATGTTAAATAATAAAAAAAGACAATTAGTAAAAAACAAATAGCGCAGAAGTACAGCATGGAAAATAAACCAAGTTACTGTTTACAGATTGTTAATAATTATATTTATATATTATATATTTGAATAACCTGCAGCGGCGTGCTCTCAGCGGAGATGGCGGTGAATCCCACGATGTCGCTGAAGTAAATGGAGACCGAGTCGAAGGCCTCGGCCTGAACCGTCTCGCCCCGTTTCAGCTGCTCCGCCACCGAGCTGAGGAGACACGTGGAACAGGTAGGGTCTGCAGTATTAGTACACACAGTACTCACTGAGGTAGTATCTGGTACAGCAGTAATCACTGAGGTAGTATCTGGTACACGCTGTATAAGTAGTCGCAGTACTCACTGAGGTAGTATAAGTACATGCAGTACTCACTGAGGTAGTATCTGGTACAGCAGTACTCAGTGAGGTTGTATAAGTACACAGAGTACTCACTGAGGTAACATCTGGTACAACAGTACTCACTGAGGTAGTATTAGTACACAGAGTACTCACTGAGGTAGTATAAGTACAAAGAGTACTCACTGAGGTAGTATAAGTACACAGAGTACTCACTGAGGTAGTATCTGGTACACGCAGTACTTACTAAGGTAGTATGGTACAGTAGTAATCACTGAGGTAGTCTCTGGTACAGCAGTATAAGTAGTCGCAGTACTCCCTGAGGTAGTATAAGTACACGCAGTACTCACTGAGGTAGTATCTGGTACAGCAGTACTCACTGAGGTAGTATAAGTACACAGAGTACTCACTGAGGTAGTATAAGTACACAGAGTACTCACTGAGGTAGTATCTGGTACAGCAGTAGTATAAGTACACAGAGTACTCACTGAGGTAGTATTAGTACACAGAGTACTCACTGAGGTAGTATAAGTACACAGAGTACTCACTGAGGTAGTATAAGTGCACAGAATACTCACTGAGGTAGTATCTGGTACAGCAGTAGTATAAGTACACAGAGTACTCACTGAGGTAGTATTAGTACACAGAGTACTCACTGAGGTAGTATTAGTACACAGAGTACTCACTGAGGTAGTATAAATACACAGAGTACTCACTGAGGTAGTATAAGTACACAGAGTACTCACTTAGGTAGTATCTGGTACAGCAGTACTCACTGAGGTAGTATCTGGTACAGCAGTACTCACTGAGGTAGTATTAGTACACAGAGTACTCACTGAGGTAGTATAAGTACACAGAGTACTCACTGAGGTAGTATCTGGTACAGCAGGGTCTCTGCTTTCCTCTTCTCTTCGTGATACGCCTGAGTGCGCTCCTCCACCAGCTCCTCCAGGTTGTTGGCGTACAGCTCCATCCGGGAGAGGAGGTTATCCAGGATGTTAGTCCTCGACTCCCTACACACACACACACACACACACACACACACACACACACACACACACACACACACACACCACACACACACACACACACACACACACACACACACACAACACACACACACACACACACACACACACCACACACACACACACACACACACACACACACACACACACACATGAACCCACAGAGCCAGAGAGGAGCGTACACTAGGCGCAGCGTACCACAGTGATCAGAAATGGGTCCTCTATAGCGGTGGTTCTCAAACTTTTTTCAATAATGTACCCCTTTGGAATTTTTTTTCAGCCAAGTACCCGCTGATCAGCGCAAAAACTATTTGTTAGGGAAAAAACGCCTATATAAAGAGGTACAGTAAAGCGCTGCACCATCGGTGTCTGATTTATTAAAACAACAACATTGTAACTGAGAAACACTTAAATGCTACCCCTTTCAAATGTTTACAATCCATCACTAAATTCATGGCAAACCCATTGTAACATCATGCAATAACACTGAGACGACATTAGTTGCATTGAACTGATCTTTTTAATAAGTTGTACTTACAATTTAGTGAAACATGGGCTTGTGCTTCACTGAGGACCTTTGTTATTCTCAGTGACAGGAAGGCCACTGCAGTTATTACACTTAGTGTTTTGAAATATGTGTAACTGTCAATATAAAACCAACACTGCTCAAACTTCGTTACTTTTCCTAACATTTGTATATTTATTTATTTTGGGGCGTGGGGAATGAAGAGAACAAAAAATATGAGCATTTTATGAGCATGGGATTTTGACCCCTCATTGAACATATGCAGTGGCGTTTTTATATGTACAAAAGTGGTGGGGCACAAAAAACTTAGATGTCTATAAGCGTCTGCAGTGAGGTTCATGGCTGGTGAGGCACTGACTCTGACTCTTCAGGTTTACAAATATTTTCAAAAGCTTTTTTTGTCTGATGCTTCAATTAATTTTAAACAGACAGTTCAACAGAAGGATACCCAAAAAATGTAATTTTATCATTTAAATATTGAATTGTTCTCTCTTAGTAAGATCCCATTTTCAATAAAATTGCAGTCTTACCTTGACTTGAAGATGAAGTCCATTTGCCTATCCCTCTGGACAAAAATCTCTATTACTTTTTTGTAAAAGTCCTCCTTATGTTCCTGTAGTTTCAAAAGTCTATCATAAATCTAATCTAATCAATAGATTTATGATTCGAAAATTATAAAAGTAGGGTAGACGGATATTATCCGGCTGAACAAAACGTGCATTTATCTAACAGGTACTTTTCCCACAGATCTTATTTTGAGCTATTTTCTAAAGTCCTATGGAGAGATCTCATTGCTTTTTTGTGGAGGGAAGCCATGCGCAGCTTACTTCCGGGTTTTAGGATGCGTCTCTCGTCTCCTCTTCACCTGCTCTTCACACACCACACTTTTCACGGCACACGTACTTACAGCCAATCAGCTCTGAATGATGTGAGATGACGTATGGTGGGGATGGCAGCTCTATGCCCCTATGGTCATTATGTTTTGCCACACACATTAAATAGGAAAATATTCTGAGTGTAGTTTTTACAGTCACCTTTCACTTAGACAGTGAGAGGGAGGGGCAGGATCGGGTTTTGTCCCACATGGCTCTAAACAGCTCAATAGGCACACACTGTAGACACTAATTAGAAGAACACAGACTAAAACAGCAATGAGACGAATCAGATGATTAAACATGATCTTAAAATATATTTAATATATTTTTTAATTTAGTTTTTGCATTTTTTTGGTAATCATTATTTTTAATACTTTCTGCTGACACTAGGTGGGGCTGTGCCCCACCTGCCCCTAATGACCATTCTCCACTGAACATATGTATAATATATGCTGCGCTATACTTTGCAGCCACAAGCCGTTGCCAAGCAACGCTTATTGTTTAGGTCCTTTGATAAGCAGGCAGTCATATAATTAACTAGAACTAGCTAGATCTGATAGATTTGGACATAAACGCGAGTGAAGTCTAACCGGACGAGAGAGAGAGATCAGAGATCAGATCAGCTGCTGCTGACGGAGAACACGCGGCTCTGCATGATCACAGCTCCGCCGCTGTGACGGACCGTTGAGTGGAGCAGAATACACTAAGAGTTAGACCTAACACACTTAGCTAGTTTATCTACTCTGGAACTAACTAAACTAGTTATACATATATGTATTCTTTACTGTCGGGTCACTTATTACAGGTTCAGCGAGCTGCACGAGACTGACCGGCTGTCAGGAGAGGGAGAGGAAAAGAGAGCACCCCGTTTATTGTTCCCATTTTATTATCCAGAGTTTCTGTAGACCTTTGAAGAAAGTAGTTCATCTACTATTAGTAGTTTGTTTAAATGCATTACTTATGTTTGTTTTTTTCATCAACATAAAATAAATCTCACGTACCCCCTGCAGTACTCCAACGTACCCCTAGGGGTCCGCATACCCCCATTTGAGAACCACTGCTCTATAGAAACCATTGCTGTGTTGGTCCCTGAAGGCAGCATCTCCCTGGTCCAATGGGATTCCTCCGTGTGATAACTACACGTTTAATTCAGCAGGATAATCTCCACATATTAACACCGCTTTAGGATTTTCAGACAAAGACTATATTTCAGGCTAACAACCAAAAACACATTCAGAGAACCATTGGCTCTCAGACCAGGGGACAGGAAGTAATGAAAGGGGTTTAGTTGCAGTTAGTTTGATTCTCTCTCACTTGTTCTGTTTGCGCAGCAGCAGCCGGATGTGGTTGAACTCGGGTCTCTCGGTGGGCTCCTCCGCCCAGCAGCGCTGCATCAGCTGGCCCAGCTCAGGACTGTGGCTCTGGGGGTCGGTGATGGGCCGGAGGCAGGGCCACTCTCCCAGAACCACCCGATCCACGATCTCTGCAGTGGGGGGGGGGGGGGGGGGGGGGGCGGGTTATTAGTGCAAATGTTTACAAGGATTGTAATGAATCATTTCCAGTTTGGATGCTGGAATCAGAATCAGAATACCTTTATTCGTCCCACAGAGGGGAAATGTACATTGTTACAGCCAAGAGCCACAGGCAGCTTAATGTTAACTAAGAAGCATGCATAACAATTATATTATACGGTTACATGGTGCTTTACCAAAGCACGTTGCCCATAAACTACATGTCCCACAATGCATTTCGTTTTGTGACACGCGCACTGAAGAGACTTGCAATTATTTGGCCTAGACTTCTGCTTTCAGACGTAGTTGATTTTGAAGTTATTACCCTGTCCGATAATAATCCAATGCAGAGCCAATAATGTAATATAATATATTATTTTATATATATTAAATAGTTATATATGTATATTTTGTTATAGTCTTAAAGTTACAACCGGCCCTTTGAGTGCAACCTTAATGCGAATGTGGCCCGCGATGAAATTGAGTTTGACAGCCCTGGATTAAGGGAACTCAGGGATGTTAGCCTCTGAGGACCATTGACATGCACTAAAACCTATAGAACACACTAGAGGGAAGGGAAGCCCCCAAAAGCAGAATAGGGCTCCTTTAAGCTGAATAATAGTTCTTGAAACAGGACAGACAGGGCAATAATGAGTAAAGAGCTTCCTGTTAGAGATGGGAGTTTGAAGTGAAACCTGTTTGTCCTCCATGGAAAGCCTCTCTGCTCGCCTGCTTCCTAACGGCTGTGGTTTGGAAACAGAAACGTTTCCATGTCTTCGTTAATGTTTCCTCTGTGATTTCTAGCTGTTCGCACGTTTGACTGTGAGCCTGTTTCAGAATAAATGAAGCCTCTGCACATCATTCCTGGAAATAAACCTGGAGAAGAAGGAAGACTGCCGATCCAGCTGGCACGCAGAAGAGCCACAGAGACGCATTTCACTAATGAGGCAGAAAGAGCTGCAAAATCACACCTTGAAACACAAAGGAGGACGAGCCGCTCTGCAGAGGCTGCCCGCAGACGAGGAACAAGTATTCAGAGCCTTTACCTAAAAGTACCTTTACTTGACTGTCAAAATACTTCATCTCAAGGTAAAGTCAGACATTGGAAATGTTCTACTTTCTATACCTGGTAATAGAGTACTTTATATACCTGGTAATCAGAGTACTTTCTATACCTGGTAATAGAGTACTTTCTATACCTGGTAATCAGAGTACTTTCTATACCTGGTAATCAGAGTACTTTCTATACCTGGTAATAGAGTACTTTCTATACCTGGTAATCAGAATACGTTCTATACCTGGTAATAGAGTACTTTCTATACCTGGTAATAGAGTACTTTCTATACCTGGTAATAGAGTACTTTCTATACCTGGTAATCAGAGTACGTTCTATACCTGGTAATAGAGTACTTTCTATACCTGGTAATCAGAGTACTTTCTATAGCTGGTAATCAGAGTACGTTCTATACCTGGTAATCAGAGTACTTTCTATACCTGGTAATCAGAGTACTTTCTATACCTGGTAATCAGAGTACGTTCTATACCTGGTAATCAGAGTACGTTCTATACCTGGTAATAGAGTACTTTCTATACCTGGTAATAGAGTACTTTATATGCCTGGTAATAGAGTACTTTCTATACCTGGTAATAGAGTACTTTCTATACCTGGTAATCAGAGTACGTTCTATACCTGGTAATCAGAGTACTTTCTATACCTGGTAATAGAGTACTTTATATACCTGGTAATCAGAATACGTTCTATACCTGGTAATAGAGTACTTTCTATACCTGGTAATAGAGTACTTTCTATACCTGGTAATAGAGTACTTTCTATACCTGGTAATCAGAGTACGTTCTATACCTGGTAATAGAGTACTTTCTATACCTGGTAATCAGAGTACTTTCTATAGCTGGTAATCAGAGTACGTTCTATACCTGGTAATCAGAGTACTTTCTATACCTGGTAATCAGAGTACTTTCTATACCTGGTAATCAGAGTACGTGCTATACCTGGTAATCAGAGTACGTTCTATACCTGGTAATAGAGTACTTTCTATACCTGGTAATAGAGTACTTTATATGCCTGGTAATAGAGTACTTTCTATACCTGGTAATAGAGTACTTTCTATACCTGGTAATCAGAGTACGTTCTATACCTGGTAATCAGAGTACTTTCTATACCTGGTAATAGAGTACTTTATATACCTGGTAATCAGAATACGTTCTATACCTGGTAATAGAGTACTTTCTATACCTGGTAATAGAGTACTTTCTATACCTGGTAATAGAGTACTTTCTATACCTGGTAATCAGAGTACGTTCTATACCTGGTAATAGAGTACTTTCTATACCTGGTAATCAGAGTACTTTCTATAGCTGGTAATCAGAGTACGTTCTATACCTGGTAATCAGAGTACTTTCTATACCTGGTAATCAGAGTACGTTCTATACCTGGTAATAGAGTACTTTCTATACCTGGTAATAGAGTACTTTCTATACCTGGTAATAGAGTACTTTCTATACCTGGTAATCAGAGTACGTTCTATACCTGGTAATCAGAGTACTTTCTATACCTGGTAATAGAGTACTTTCTATACCTGGTAATAGAGTACTTTCTATACCTGGTAATCAGAGTACTTTCTTTACCTGGTAATCAGAGTACTTTCTATACCTGGTAATAGAGTACTTTCTTTACCTGGTACACAGAGTACTTTCTATACCTGCTACACAGAGTACTTTCTTTACCTGGTAATCAGAGTACTTTCTATA